TCTCTCTCTCTCTGTGTGTGTGTGTGTGTGTGTGTGTGTGTGTGTGTGTGTGTGTGTGTGTGTGTGTGTGTGTGTAACTGACTGTAATGACTTACAGGCTGCAGTGAATGGAAAATTCAAGAATCTAGTAGCTGCTCAGTCCCAGGAAACTGGGTGTCTTGTGGGTATTCTGTGTATGCTGGAATCCCAAAGTAGGCTCCAATCCAGTGAAGGAATGGATGTCTAGCAAGGCAAGGGCAAGCAGGCCTTCCTTCTTCCTGTCCTTATTTAGGGTTGCAGAAGAATGTGTGGCCCATATTAAAAGTGTGTCATCCTGACTCAAGATCCAGATCAGAGGTGTGTCTTCCGGATTCAAAGGTCTGGACTACAAGTGGAATCACCCATTTCAAACAAAGCAGAACATCTCTCAGAGGTACTAGCTATATTTCTGGATTATAGTTCACTCCAAATATTATCAAGTTGACAACCAAGAATGCCGGCCACAGAGATGTACACTAAAGTGAGGCTCCAGAAGTCTATGGCTCTCAAAAACACTTAATGATTTTGAAACTGAATTTCAAATCCAAGTCTTCCTTTCCATATTTATTCTTACCACTTAATTCTCATAGAATGCTCAAAAAACATAATAATTACATAGAATTTTATAGGCAAGGGTTCAGAGCAGTGACCTATCTTGAATTATTTTTATTAAAAGTACCAAGTGAGCAGATGGAAATTCAGAGGTAACAGGATACTACTCTGGGTAGCTTATTGGGTGCATGACACCAAAATGTATTAAATGAAATGTGAGTGGAAAGGTTTGCTCTCACCGGGCTAAAAACATCTACAACAGCTAGTTTCTTAGTGTGTGCAAGGGACTGTTCCAACCCCTTGAAGCGGCAGACTCCGTTGAGCAGTCCCCAATTATTACATCAAATCTCTTACTCCTTTCTGATTTTGCTGCCTCTTACAATTTGAGTGAGCTACTTCGAATGCTGAGAATCTGAGGGCCTGTGTCTCGACAACTCCTTTCTGTGGGGGACATCAAACTAAGAAAAGCTCTCCTCCCCTACTTGTTCACAGGAGTACCATTTAACATTATAATACTTATTTTAATTCTCTGTTATTTTTATATACAGGGGTACATTTTTAATGAGGTGTATGTACACAGATACACAGATGATCCCAGTCTATGTGGCTCTCTTCAAAAACACTTTAATGACTTTATGAAGCTGAAGAGCAAACCCGTCTCAACTTCCTAATTTGCTATTGTTACCACTAAATGATCGTTAGCTACTGAAAAAACATATTAATTACACAGAAGTTTTGCAGACCAGGTCCAGAGAGCCTAAGTCTGGGTACCTGCCCGAAAGGTGAAAAGCATTAGCCTTTTTGCTTCCTGCCCCTCTGAGGACAAGGGGTGGCGCTGTCCTCACTCCTTGTTCCTCACTGGGGCGGAAGAGGCCTTGTACGTCGTGGGAGGCCGGTCCGCGTGCCGCCTACACCTGCCCTCTTGGTAGTCGACTTTGTCGTACTCCGAGCAAGGAGGACGGAGAAAGACACATCGGTGCGGGTCCTGGGCTCCGCGACCTCAGCTGAGGGCATGAGAAAGTGTCGGGAAGTTTCGCATCACTCAGAGGCGCTGCCGCGCAAACTCCAAATGCTGGACTCAGCCTGCAGGGGCGCTCCGCGTGGCCACGCCCCCTCGCCGCCAGCCACGCCCTCCC